CCGTCCCCGCGGCCCCCCTGCCCCCCTACGGGGCCCGGCTGGCCGCCCGGCCATGTTGCCGTCAGAGACACCAATCGAGTTCCGATTTTGTACGGGTATTATACTGTGGCACCACGTAGTATACCTCGAGGAGGAAAAGGCTTACAGGAGGAAAGAGGAGGAGGAACGGATAAGAATGTACATAAATGGTGTACATAGCGTGTACATAGCCCCACGCACGCACCGCTGCGCCTTGCACTCGACTGCGCCTTGTAACGTGGTGTCTGCTCTGTGTTTTCGCAGGTGAGGCTGAGGATGGCTGTGGAATAGCGACATCGACTGCGTCCGCATGAAACGGTACAGTAAGTATCAAGTTTGTTTGAACCTCTTTTACGTTGCATGTTTATTAGTTTCGTGGATTTTTCAAACTGTCCTTTTCAAAACCTCCCCCTACACTTACATGATTAGTCGTACCGCGACAGCACGGTGTATAGACATTGTGCTCCCCTTCCCGGCTTTCCTCCCCACACCCCAGTTTTCTCTCTCTGTCGCACCCTTGTTGCGCCACTTGCTAAAGGAAGGGGTTCTGCTGGCCCACGCACCTTTTCCCCGCATGGAGACAGCTGAGCACCCGGGGTGGGTGTGATGACCGACCTTCCCTACGCTTGTCAGCACACTCGCGGTGCGCGTGCGTTGGGCGTTTAGGAGGACCGGCCGTCAGTTGTGCACCGCCCGTCCAGCGCATCAGTCGCGTGTGAGTTTTATTTATTCGAAGCTGTCGCAGCCGCCGCCCTTATTGTTTTGGAGTGAGTGTGCCCCCGTCCGCGCCCGCGCCCGGACGCCCTTGCCTCTATATTTCCGTCTCCTTCCTGCAGCTCTTGCAGTGCTCCCAGCAGACTTGCTTGAAATTCTGAAAATCTTCCGAGGAATCTCAATCGCGTCGCGCTCGCCCCCTCCTCGTCTGGCTTGGTGCTGCCGCTGCCCCCCGAAGGGTTGGGGAGTGGGAGGGAGGGGTAGGGGACGGTCCGCGTAGCTCGTAACTCAAGTCTGTGTGAGCGACGGGACGGGGCTGCGCGCTCTCCTCTCTGCCTGGAGCTCTTCCCGCGCCTTGGCGCCCC